AAAGGTCTAAGCTGTTGTAGCTAGAAGCCAGCCATCTTAGATGCCTTAAATAATACAGACTGCCAACATTTTAACAAATCTGAAACTGGGGCAATTTCAAACTGTGCCCATAATGTGTAAGCCTTGAGTAAGGTGGGTTGCATTCCATGAAACATTGGTTGGCTATTAGAAAAGTATTTTCTCATGGATACTCTTTGTGCCAAGTCCTGTGAGTGCATGCACTTCTAATGTAATGTGTAAACTTTATACATACACACCCATTTCTGTGAATCACCCTTCCATAGCTCCTCTCCCCCAGGACTATGCTGCCAAACAGTAAGAGGGTTATTCACTAAAAAATCGAAGGATCCAGCCCCAGCTTTGGCTGATCCTTCGACTCTCTTCGGCCACCTCTGCCCTTCGGTTCAGTCAAACCAAAGGGCTGCTGTATGGGCTATTCACAATAGCCCGTACATCAGTCGAAGGGAGCCGAGCCGAAGGCATATGCTTTGGCTCAACTTAACCGAAGTGACAGCCGAAGCGTGGAGAAAGGTCGGCCAAAGCCGACCGAACTCCACGCAAATGACAGCTGGGCAGTTGAAAATGACAGATCAGCATCCCCAAATTACCTGGGGACACTGATTTCTCATTAAACAATAACAACTGGGCGGAGCCGGCCTTGGCATCACGACCGACTCCGCCCAGTTGTTGTTCATTGGCCGGGACCTGCTAGAAGACTCTGGCAGGTGCCGGCCAATAGGAAACAGTTGGGCTCTCACTTTTAGCTCCGCCTAATTGGTTTTTAATTTTTTTTTACATTTTCTTTAAAATAGTTTTGTTTATTTTTTTAAAATTTTCCTATTTTTTATAATTTTTTAAATTTTGCAACTTGTTTCACATTCTTGTCACTTCTTTTCTATTCTGCTCAGTACCTTGGAGGTACTGAGCAGAATAGCCAAGCCGAATGCCGCTCAGTGGCATTTGGGTATTCACTCACTCCCGTTCGGCCCCTATGAGATTGGGGCAAACAGCAGCGAGTGAGCTGCGGAGCTTCAGCTCAGCTGATCCAGATGTTGGATTGGCCGAGTCGAAGTCCTTCTGCACTTCGGCTCAGCCGAACATGCAGAGCATATTCAGCTAACTGAGGGCAGCTGATGTACGGCTGATTTTAGCTGCTGTACGGCTGAAATCAGCCGTACAAGCCAGAAGTGAATACCCGAACAGCGTTCGGCCCATTTCACTTCAGCTGAAAAATTCACTTGGCTGTCTTGTGAATAATGTAAGTGTTTGTATAGCTCAAAGTATTTTGAGTGAGCAGAACAACCTGGTTCCCCCAAAAATAGGAAATAACCATTTTCCAAAATATGCAGAACTAGGCAGGGAAGGGAGATGGATAAGATAAATCTAATGATTTAGCATCAGTACCGTACTGCTTGGTTGCCTCTTGTAAATCATAGAGAATGCATTTGGCAAGAATGAGTATCTTTGATCAGGCTCCCCATACCCCAGACTAAATAGGCTTTTTGGTGCCAGTAGCTGTTAGTTCAAGGAAGTAAATGGATACATGGCATAGACCACAAATGAAAATGCATTGTATTCAGACACCATGCTGCATTCTTTTATCACAGGCAATGGATAGGGTTTCAGAAATCTACAAACTGCCTTTGATAAGAACTTGTTCAGCATAGACTCTAGTGAAAGAAAAGCCCCATCAAATCTGCACTAAGGTTTACCATCTGAACGCCACATTCTCCTTACCTCTACTTAGAAGCTAAAAACCGCCTTCACCATTTTTAACTATCACAGTTTCCTATATATCCAAATAATGACTTCCATATCAAAGATAGCCAAAGATCCTATTCTAAGAATCTTACCTTTAAACATTGATATATTTGTTCTTGATTCTGGAAGTCTAGTAGTGTAACTATTTTAATAATCCTTAGTTTAAGTAGCTAATAAAGTATCTGTTGCAATAAAGAACCCCCTATAAAAATATTCTCGCATTTCTTTCTGCTGTTTCAGCGGTACTGATACCTGTGACTGCTAGTCTCCCCGGATTTGGAGTGTGATCTGGTGATGTCAGTTCTGTTGTGCTCACTGTTCTTATTGATAGAGAGAAAGCTGCAGTGTAATGATCTCCCTGCTTCTGCTTCACCTAGTCTATACTTCCTGCAAATTGTTTGTTTGTTTCTTTCTGAATATTCCCTCACCAGTAATCAGTCCACAAATCATCAGGGGGGCAGCTCTGACATGAGGCAGCAAAGCCCTGATCCTTCACCAAGATGGCTGGCTTCATACAGAGACACAGTGCAGAACAAGGCATGGATAAGTCAGTAATAAGAAAAGATCAGATACAGGGATACCACAGGCAATATTGGTGACTGATTCTTAGCCCTCTGCAAGCCTCTTTGACTCAGCCTTTACAGTCCAGGTTCTCTTTAATCCTACATAATTGCATTTTAAACTAATCCCTAAAGTGGACTTTTAACACTTAACCCCCCTCCCTAACCATTAACCCCTAAAAGAAGACCTTAAAACTACCCCCCACCATTAGTAAGCCATATAGTTAGCCCTTAACACTTATCTCCCCCACTTATCTCCCCCATGGCCCTTAAAATATAAACCTTTAACAAACCTAACCCATACATTAATCCCAAGCACTAATTAAAATTGAACAATATATGGAAACAAGAAACACTTAAAAGGCTGGCACAATAAAGAAAAAAAATATTCATGAGAGAATTGTGGGACAATAGTTTATATTTGCCTGGTGTTTGTGCAATTATAAGCTTAACTTCAGTGGTGTTGGTGTGTTACATACACACCCATTTTTACAAAATATAACAAATCCATTTTTTTAAAGGTTGCATGAGGAAATAATATTTTGTTATCTTAACATCTGACAGCTATCTTATATCTGTGGGCTTGCTTATTTGAGCAGTATAAAAAATATTCAGTTTCTTACAAAATCATAAATATGCTCAAAACCTGACATCCGATTTGAATTTTGTGGCACTTATGGGGTCACAGTGCTAAAAGAGTACATGATATTAGGTAATGATATAAAAAATGTTGTAAGTAGTTTCTGTAACCATGTTTTTAGTATTACCGCTGCAACATAAATGTTTGTGTTTATTCATTGGCTATAGTATTGGTGGACACAGAGTGATGGATTGGCTCTTGTGTGTGATGTTACATAGATTGCTGTTGGCAAGTAAAAACTGTACCTTGTATAAGATTGATATGTGTATGCACAAAACTTTCTGCAATTCATTATGAATAGTCAAATGTTCCACGCAATCTCATCTAATGAGTCTACACTGAAAATATGTGCAAATGTTATGCATAATGCAGGCTCAGTTGTATTTAATGTAATACAAGTATGTAGTGCAAGAATGGGTGATATTCACTATACCAGCAGCTTTAGATACCTACAATAATGTAGGCAAGCAATTGCAGGAATACCAAATTTTGAGTCTCCATTGCGAGCAGAGGCTACAGTATCAGTCAGCTTAAAAGCCACATGACATTAAGATAGGTATGCCAAAACAGCCCTCTAAAAATCTTTGCTGAACAGAATTTGAAACATTCAGTGGAGTACATCACACCTACTTTATGTGTGCCACATTCAGGTGACATATTCTACCTGTGTACTGGACAAGCTGCACTTTAATAATGAGGCCACGTATTGTTGTTGATTCTGAGTCAGTGAAGCTGAATGTATTCAGCTTAAGTGACAATGGTCCTTTCCCCTCCAGAACCTGTACACAAGCATCATATGCATAGTGCATAACTGGATTTATACCCCCTCTTCCAGGCAGAAAGGAAAAGAGCCAGCACAACACTTCACCTGTGTATATAGTACAATGGGTGCTATGCACTTATTGGTTTGTTAAGAGTTTACCGATTCTGTTGAATTAAAATATTAAATGTCGATCTGGGATGCACCTTGTACGATGTGTGTAGTACACAGGTTTTTGAACAGACGTGCTGAGTACCCACTGAAAGGTTGCTATAAGCATCATCAAAGGAAATGAAGAGCCACATTTGGCTCCACAAGCCACTGGTTAGGAACCACTAGCAAAGAGTAATAGAATCTACCTGAATAGGCTAATGGCTTTGAATACAACAACAATGAATGACCATATCTCTCATTTCTACTCAAATGCTGTTTCACAGCAGAAAAAAACAATTTCATTAAGAACTGGAACTTGCCATTCAAAAACTAGACAAAGGTAGTCTTTTAAAAACT